TGAATATATAAAGTAAAAATTTTTAGAAATATATACCTGTAGTACTGCAGATTAGCCTTCCCTGAACACCCACAAAAAGTTAGCAAACACATACCATTGAATAATTTCATTACATGGAGGAAGCAAAAACACAAATATTAATTAGTCTCTGTTAAAAAATGACCATACCTTTCCCTCATCCTTAATATGCACAGTAGTTCCAAATACTCAAATAATTTTTATTCCTTATGAAACTCTTCATTTGTGAAATTCTGTTCATCATTAAATTCTGACAAGAGGTCAGAGTGAAATGAATGAAAATTAAATTAAACTCTTCCATTTACTTATAGTAAGTATTAATCATTATGCATTCCTCCAAAATGAAAAAAAAAATGTTTGGATAGCTGCCATGTTCTGGGATCATCTACTTCACAAGTCAAATATTATGGTAATTTTGTTTAATACTTGTTTATTTGAGTTTATCCTGAGAGTAACTGTCTCTAGTCTTGGAATATATATGTAGAGCCCTTTATTTTCTGAACTAAGTGAGGAAATTGTACTAGTTGAGCTCTAGAAAACAAAATATTTCACAGATACATCCCTCATATACCATGATACAAGGAAAAAGAGATTATCATCTTCATTTTAATTTTCACTGATGGGGAACTTGAATCCAAAAAAACATAAAGTGACATCCAAAGTGATGCTTGTCAATTTGCGACAAAGTGTGAATGGTTAATATTCCATTGTCTTTTTAAACTTCTTTATGGGGGGGAGGGGAAGGAAACTTTCCCAAGTCACAAGAATGTGCCCAGAAACAAGCAAGATATTACATCCAAAAAAGACTAACATTATTATCTTTTTTAAAAAATCAATATCCATGCATGATATATATATTTTAAACAAATATTTTCATTTTCTACATGAAATTTTAGAAAAGAAAGAACAAGTGCATCATAAATACAAGCCAGTTGATTCCATTAGGCTGAAAAAAAACTATTTCACAAAGACCAGCCACTGTACTTTGCAAAAACAGTGTCTGTCTTATGACTCAGGGCAGAAAAATTACTAAAGGAGTTCCCTTTTTTTAAATTTTAAGAATCAAATGGCCCAGATCCCATAGGTGAGTAAATTACTCCCTGATTTTAAGTTAAGCATTTTGATTTAGTGCATCTTACATCTAGATCTCTAAGGGGAATTAATTTATAAAATGATGCCTAAGTTGGCAAAGTTAATATCTCTCATAAACTGTTTGTACTCAAGGAACAATTTAATCTCTTCCTGCAGAATCTGGGTAAGATAAAGTACAAAACTCTGAAATGTCTAATTCTTCTTGCCTTCATCTCCACAAACATTATAGATAATATAAATACGTACATTTGAACAATGGACTTCAATTATACTATACAGACTTCTCCTTAAGAATGGCTTTATAAGATTAAATTAGTGTTTTGATGCATTGTTTACACTTCTTGCATTTTTAAAAGATGCCCTGTATTTTTAAATTCTTCTATATTGATATTCTTCCCCTTCCCCATCTTCTCATTATAATGCAGGTCTGGCCCAATTGTTATTCTCATGATATCCCACATTAGACCACATTTTAGCAACATTGTAGACAAAGGAAACTTGCTTATTTATGATACTGTTCATATTTCCATTTTTTAAAAATATCACTATTATGTTTTATCTAGTCATTCAGGTTATAGTAACTGATAATATACATTATTATAGAAAAATATTGAAGATGTGTAAGTTGCTTTGGAAAAGTTTGAATTCTCAGTACACATATTTACTCACATTAGTGTGTTGGTCAGAAATATATATATATATATATATATATATATATAAACACATATGTATATCTTAAAAAAACCCACTTTTTGTATGCACCAAGAGCATTTGTAGAATAAACCATGCAATCATCTGGTCCTCCAAAAAGGGAGATTACCACTTATGTGCTGATTGAGGATACACAGAAAATTTTTCTATCATTATTGCACTTATTAAAGTTCACCCTTAAATAAATTTGTATTAGATCAATAGGCAGGAATTGTCCTTCCTGGAAACCTAGAGGAAAACTGCATATAAACATTCAATGAACACATACAGTCAGAACCATAACCAGGCCATGCAGACAAAGAAAGAGGATGATTGGGAAGAAACACCTAGGGGTTCACTGAAAAGCAGTTGATGCTATCTTTCCTGCTTGAGAACCCAGAATGCTCTAGAACCATGATACTCCTTCCATTCAAGGACAGAGAGTGTTATTTGATGATCAGCTTCATGACTACAATCAACTACCTAAATTTGGCAGTAATTTGGAATGTTGAATGTTTCATGGATTTCAGCTTAGGCCTTTGAGCCAGTATCCATGGCAAAAAATGAAACAGGAGGGAACACATTTCTGGGCTCAGATTATATTTTCTACTTGTTCCCACTATTAAAATTTCAACTATATCCCATACATAATTGAAATACACAGACACACACACACACACACCCCAGACTCACAGATCATGAAGGAACCTTAGAGACCATACAATACATCCCCTTTCCTTTGCCAATGACAAGGCAGGGGATGAGAGAAGTGATTAACTTATAGGGATGCAAACCAAACCATATAAGCAAAGAAATCTCTATTTGGAAAAAGATGATTTACTGTGTTATAATTAACTCATTCTGCCATGCCTACAGTATAGACAGATATTATAACTTATGATTTCACCTAAAGGCCCTCCTTTATATTAATAGAAGTTGTATGTATAAAGAAATGGGAATATTACCTACACCCTCTAACCTTACATAGTTTGTGAGACTACTGGGATAGATAGGCACATACTGAACATATAGAAGGAATGAGTTGGCCCATTGAGATGCATGCCTATTTTATTTGTAGATTTCTTTGCTTCATAGAAGACATGCAACATGAATAAACCATGTTAGGTGCTGGCCTCTAGCACATAAAACTAGGAGGTAGAGGAAAAAATGTATAAAATATTAATCTATTATCCCAAACATCTCATGTCATTAGGATAGGGTACATGATCTTATTTTTTAACTTGGGTGTAAAATTAGCTTTTATAGTTCTGCTTTACAATTCTCAAGTCAGACTATGATTTTATTTGACTGAATATTTTGCCTGTAAATGTAAATAGATTTTGTTGGATTGGAGGAGAAGGAAGGTAGGGATTGATCATAAAAATTTAAGCATTGCTATCTTTGGTTCCACTATCATCTTTTCTGTGCCATAACATGTGTGGAATATACATACATACAACTCTATGCATTCATATCCCACACATATGTATGCATATTCCACATCCTCCACAAATGCATGTACATATATACACATGTATGAGTATAAATGTGTATGTATATGAATATCACACATCAAAAGCAAACAGTACATACACACAGGAATATAATATATTCTCCCCTTGATACATACATCTAACCCATACCTAGAAAACTCGTGAATGCACCAAAAGGAAAACACACTCCCCAGAGCTATTTAAAATACATTGTTTACCTAGTCAAAAAGAAATTAATAGATTCCTTTGAGTCCCTGGAGTCAATCTGTATTTTGGTACAGATGTTAATTATAAATATACGTTTAATTTAATGACTGATTAAGCAGCTCCTTGTGAACTTTGTTACAATAGGCACTTTCTAAGAAGAGGATTTGTGACCAAAAAGAAAAAAAAAAGAATTAAAAGTGTATACCTTTCCACTAGAGCATCCTTCTGAGCCATAGAGGTCTATTTTATCAACACTGCAACCATCTAGCAGCAGAATCAAGTTAATGTACAAAGAAGAATCCTTAGAAAATTTTGACGGGGGGAAAAAAAGTCTGCACAAAAGCAGTTCTCTGATTTGAGCAACCTTTGATTTTTAAGCATCTACTTTGAGCTTGGTTGTTTTTTGTTTCTTTACAAGTCAGTTACCCAGAGACATCTTCCATTCTAATAGGACTTTCCACAAATAAGTCTCATGCTAAATTCTCCCCTTCGTGAATTACAAATACACTTTTAAAAGAACAACCAATAGTTTACATTCATTTTTAATACACTCATACCTAAATTAGAGATGCAAATATTTTGTTCTCATGTACTGTCGTCACGTTCAGGTTTTGGAAAAACACAGTCAGAAAATCAGTTCATCAAATAGAAATGCTGATAAACCCTTACATAGCATACTACAGTATTTCTATAATGACCTACATTATATTTGCAGTCCAGTATTCATGGTAGGGGTAAGTCAGTTTAGAAGAAGATAGCTATTCTCTAAGAAATAGGATGCTAGGGCTCTGTGATGGGACTGTCTGTGATTACTACCTAAAGTAACATGGGAAAAAGAGGGGAAAAAGGAGAGGAATAGTGGAAAGAAAATATAGTCCATGCATAAAACCCATAGCAATCCATTCCCCTTACTCCTTAAACTTGACATAGACCTCTCATGAGGCCTTGCAAAATGGAATCAATGACTGGCCTGATGGGGAATAGAAACCTCACATAAAGTACACAACATACCACATGAAGAGAGATCATAAAATGAGATTAACAGTTTGAAAAGGTTAACTTCCTCACTGGCATTAATCTATAATTCAAACTCAAAGAGCACTGAAGGAATAAGAACTTAACCCACCCCAGCCTGAGATCAAAACACTCATGGTAATCCTAGCAGGTTGGACCCTGATTTTTTTTTAATAGTACATTGCCTTCGTTAAACAAACAAAATCATCCTTTTTATTATATAATAGATTATAAATAACTGTAAAGTGTGCATGCAGTCAACTGCATATTATACAAGCAATATCTAGGTTATCAATAGTCATCTTCTTTGGCAGGCCAGAATCCAGCTGGACATGCAATATTTACATATCAAAATCCTTGTTATATTCAAGTCATAGTGAAAGCAAGTGAAAATATATATATATATGTATATACTATATATACACACATGTATATAGCTGTATATACTGTTTCAATATATTAACAAATATATATGTATATATAATATTAAAAGTGGATTTCATCTTTTTCAGATTCAGGTGACTCAGGCCTTGAAACACTAAAAATATCCTGACAGGGTATTTGGGGAGGTGCCTGAGGTGGCACTTGGGATTTGGGAGAAGAGGTCTGGGGAATATTCTTTTCAGAGAGTATTTTCAAAATTTCTGCCACCTGCTTTTCCAGGGCAGTCATTCTGCAGCTTAGCAGGTGAATGTCATCTTTGAGTTCATGTTTCACTTCCTGCAGTGTGGTCTGTAAGGCCTGCTCGGGAATAGGATAAAAGGGATGTTTTGCATCAGCCTGAATAGGACTGTGCTCCAATGGGCTCCTAGTCTCACCAGCTTTATCTAAACGGAGATCACTTTTTGTTATTCCACTGTCACAAGAATCTGTTTTCCTTAATGGGTTTTTGGTCACACTGGTCTCTGAGTCATTGCATTTAGGGTCATCTGACAATAAACCCATAGATTCAGCCTTTGTGACATTATTCCAATCTTCCTTCTTCTCCTCATGGCCACCCACATTATTCTTCAGTCGCAGCCACCCTTTCCCATTTCCATTTTTCATTCTCATGGGACTGTTGACTTTGAGACACTTTGGGTCAGTGCTGCCATTTGGCTTCAGTTCCATTGCATCTCGGTTGTTCTGTTTTAGGGACTCACTGGTTTTCACATAAGCCAGAGAAGTCTGAATAGGTGTGATCTGAGAAACAGTGACCACACTGGTGCCAGTGATAGAAGCCCCATTCTGTAAGGAGCGGCTCTCCACTTGAAGTTGGCTCCTTTCTGGATCACTCTGTGTTGATCCTTGATTTCTTAGCTCCTTCTGCTGTTTGAACTTCTGGAAAAGCTTCCGGACAGGGTGGTCCACTGGGATACTGAGGGTTACTTCATTTTTCTGCCGAAGACGCTCCTCCTCTTCCTTTTTCACATCACTGATTTTACGGAAAATAATCTGTCAATAAAAGGGGAGAATCCATAATGTGATTTTAAGAATTAAGTCAAAATATAATTGAGTGATAATCTTAATATTATTGATATTGTTTGGAAAGGAAGTATCTTCAACACATGAGAATGACATTCATTAAGAGATTTTTTAAAAAGTCAATCTGCAGAATATAATTGAATAGAAAATTCAAGATAATTCAAACCATAAATCAGTGTTTATGTTCAACTCCTTTGCATTTGAGAATGGGAAGGTATTCACAGTAGATTCACCATACTTACTTTGCTTTCTGCTTTATATTCACATTTAATAGAAAAATATAGCCTTTAAAACTGCTTGGAAACACACTATTGTACTTTATCTAATGTAAGGAGGCATCTTGGGCATGAATGAAGCATCAGCATCCTGAAAACTCTCATTGCAAGGGTCCTGGAGACTCTGGAATACATGCACAACTGATAAGATAAGGAAAAACTCAAAAGGTATTGTCAAAGATGTTGCAGTTTTTTAGCTTTCTGAAAGGGAATCATCAAAGGACATCATGGTGTGGTGGATGAAGCTCTACACTCATACTCAGGAAAAACTGGGTTTTGCACCCCACCCTTAGCAGTTACAACCTGGTTGGACAACTTCTTTGAGTATCATTTTTCATATCTGTAAAATGAGTTACAAATACCCATGGATAATGTGGCAATGAATAAAAAGCAATTCTTAAACATTAGGCACCATATCAATTTTACCTTTATTTTTATTACTGACCCTTTCATTGTTCTGAGTCCTTTGGTATGTTTCATGTCTAATACTACAAATAACAGCACAATACACAAAGTCTTTCCCAGGGTAACACACAAGACAGGGGAAAACACACACACACACACACACACACACGCAATAAGACACCTAAAAATATCAGACTGCCAGAGCCACACAACATTAACACAAAGAGGTTTCATAATTTGAATCTCTTGCTTACATCCTTCTAACACATATTGCCATTGGTGGCCCCATACAGGGCCAACTTCTACATGAAACTCCAGACTTTTGCTCTCCTTAAATTTTATGTTCTACCTTCAAGCAGCTTCATAGTGGGTGAGAGACTAGTACCCTTGTTAGGATTATTTACAATCTTTGCTGAATTTCTACCTTCTCCTCAAAAAAAAAAAAAAAGAAAAAAGAAAAAAGCCCTACACCAATTCCTTTAATAGAATAAAATGGAAAGCATTATAATGCAGAAGTTTTTAACCATTTTGTGTGCCATGGACCCCTTTGGCAGAACTGCTATACTCTTACAGAATAATGTTTTTAATGCATAGTATTATAAAAGTTATATTAATTTTTTTTGGTAAAAATAAGTTCATGGACTCCCAGGTTAAAAACCCACATTCTTATGTGTAAAATCCCATTCATCTAGATTTGAATCAACAGCAACTTTTATACCCATCCTGCACCAGCTCTCTATAAAAGTTGAACACTACACACCTTGAAAAGTGGTAGTCTCCTCTTCTCTAAGGGTATCCAAGTACCATGCACAAAAATAGTTGAAGCAATTTTCCAACTTTGGTTCTGAAATCAGTTTGATTCCTCAAGAATGTACCTGATGATACCAGGAATCTAAACCAATGGGCTTCGATGTGGCCAAAGCAACAATCCCCAACACAGGACACTTCTGGACCTAATGGTGTCTGTCCTCCACAGGACAGCTCAATTCTGGTCCTCACCAAATCTTTGTCAGTATCTTAATTGGCTAGAATAATTAGAGGTGGTTACTGGAATGAGGAGGAGGAGAAGGAATAATTACCTTTAGAGATCTCTGTCATATGAACAAAATAAGAGTGAGATTCATTTTCCACTCACTCTTGATTTTTTATATCTCTGAATATGTTGTTTATTGGGTAAGTTCTGTGCAGCCCATTCTGTAACAATGTTTGACGATACATAAACATGTCATGTGGAAGAGAGATTAGACATCTTATATAGCAACAGCAGGTAGAATGAAGACAAAAAAGATGGACATTATAGGGAATTTGATTTTGGAAAAAAAAATTTCAATAATTATATCTGTACATAAATAGAATGTCCTTTTTCAAAACATGGTTTTGTTTCAAAAAAGAGAGGGAGAGAGAGAGAGAGAAAAGAAAATATCCAAATGATAGATAAAAGAAATGGAATAATTAATTAAATGAATGGAAAACTTTAAATCAGTGGCTTCAGTTAAATAGTGCAGAGTACAGAAGCAACATGTGATCTCTGGAGGAAAAACTGGAAAGGAAGGACATTCTAGACATAGTTTTCATTTTTTGAAAGATTTAGCTGTTTGTGTATTTGATTTAATTTGGTTCTAAAAATATTTTTTCCTTTTTTGTATGGAAAATGACAAACAGCATATAGCATATATTATACAAACCATGAGTTCTCATACTTCGAAATAACCAAGTTTACTAATCTTTTTGGAATCTTTTCTTTTTTGCAGTCTGCTTCATTATCTCTTGAAGATTGGACATCTTTGAGCATTTGTAAAATACATTCATTGTGATAGTGGCAACCAAACAATCATTATGGATGTTATCAGAGGGAAGTTAGTGAGGCTTCAATCCTCACTTCCAACTATATAAATGCACATTTTCTAAATTGAGATAGATGGGCAAAACATAGCTTGTCAAGTGGTAATAATAAGGTACTTTAAAAATATTCTCTACATTCAATAGCTCCCTTTGAAGGAAGGCATATTTTTTTCCTTTCAAGTGACACACGAAAATGAGTCTTTTAAAAATATAACATTAATCTGAAAGTCTGACATCAAAGCTCTTACCATTTAATTACAAGCCTTTCAAAGGACTGACATATTTCTCAGTCTTTCTAAGTAAACAGCATTTGTACTAACCCTTTAGAATGTTAACACCTCATGACAGACCAGTTACAAACATAGAAACATTTTTTTTGGTGGAGGGGGGGGAAGTGGAGGGGAAGAGAAGAAGGGTATGTTCAGAAACATCACATTTCCCATCTTGGAAAATACACAGGTTCTGTTGGCATGAGGCCTAATGGTTGGCTACAGCTTGGAGAATTATTTAATCAGAAAAATTCAACAAATTTTGAATGACATTCATTTTAATCTAATTTCTGACATGTTTGTCCTCAAACAGGCACAGTTTATAATCATGGCTCTACCTACAAGTGGTTTTCAAATTAGGATCAAATGATAGATTTTTTTTAAAAAATAACCACAATACAGGAAGATAGACATCTTTGTGTGCAATAGAGATAGAAGATTTATTTCTGGAAAACGACAGCCACCATAGTAAACCTAAACACAAAATACTAAAATATGAATTTACAAAACAGGCAAATTAACGTGTAGTGATTCACATTCCTAAAGGGTTTCTTACTTTACAGAGGGATTCACTGGACAGTTCTTTTAAATTCCAAGCTCTTCTAATAAAATTAAAATATGATATGATTTATAGAATTTCATTTCACAATCAACTTTTCAGGAACACATCTATTTTATCAAGGTAAACACACTAGTAATGAATGACTCATGCTTTTTTATTGTAGACCCTCCAACAATTATTGTTTTTAATCTGATACATTTATGTTAGTATTTAGGAGGATTTTCTCATATGATTGTTCATAGATAAATTTCTTCCCTTGAGTACTGTCCACATTTTTTTTTTACCATTTATCTATAAAGATATGGTTTTTGTTCTTATGTATTCATATTGATTCTACAAATATCATGGATATTCTCTCTTTATCAGAGAAATTTGCTAAAGAAAAAGGTTTTTCCCCTTAATTAATTGTTTTCCTTCTAATTTTAACTCTATCTCTTGTTTAGTTAAGAACTTCCCTACACATAATTAAGAAAGGTAGCTTCTTCCATTCTCCTCTAATTCATTTATACTGTTACCTTTTTATCTATTTGATCTTATAAATGATGAATTGGGCCACTTATAGATGAAAATGGAAAAGGGACTATAAACATAAGGAAAAAAAACTTAATTCCAAAAAAAAAACATTTTAATCAACTATTTTCTCCATCAAGCATAGAGGAACCACCATATTTGGACTCTAACATTTCAGTCCCCAAGGTGCTTATAGACAAAATAGAAATGAAACTGAGAAAAGAAACTAAGAAATGAAACAAGTATGTATAGAGCAGATCTTCCCCAAAGACAAGTCAACTGTGAGAGCACTGAGTCTGACACAAAATATCTGAAGTAAGGAAACATGCCAAAAGTGGGGTAAAGTCTTAGATTTTATCAATACTAAAAAAAATCAATAATAATGACTGTGAGAACATCAACTCCTAACCTATATGACTTTTGTTTTTACCATCTATAACAAATTATCTAGATACACATTGAATGTATATTCAATGAGAGTATTACTAGGAAACAAACAGACTTTCATGAACAATAATCAATAATTGACTATGTTGAACATTTCACAATTCACTTTAAAATGTAGAGAATATAATATTGTGATGAGTTCATTATTTGTTAATCACAAAAAACAAAAATATAAACAAAAACAAAAAACCCTTATAAGCTCTTTTATAACAAGTTATTTCCTAGTCATACATCAAGATCATTTAGGACTCTGAAAGATATAACAACAGAAAAAAAAACTCTATTCAATGATCTTCTAATAATAAACATCAAATGAGTCAGGAAACAGGAAGATGTATGCTCTTCAAAAGTACATACTAAAGTAATAGAGGAGATTAAGTCCAAGTGAAAGGAGAATTCCCTACTGAACATAAAGTGCTCCAGATTTTCTTGTTTGTGGATGACATTATGTTGACTAGACCCTCTTGGAAGCGATAATAAAGATTGAAAGGAGTTTTGACTGTCCATCTAGACAGGAATGACCAAGTGGCTAAAGCATATCTTCTGCCCATATTTCAACATGGAAGAAGGAAAACCTAGAGAGCCTATCCAACAGCATGTGTATTTGGAAGAGATAGTATAGATGGACAATGAATTGGGTCCAGAAGAAGAGAAGAGCAG